GCGGGCCTCTCACTGTTGTGGCCTCTCCCGTTGCGGAGCACAGGCTCCGGACGTGCAGGCTCAGCGGCCATGGCCCACGGGCCCAGCCGCTCCACGTCATGGGGGATCTTCCCGGACCGGGGCACGAACCCGTGTCTCCTGCATCGGCAGGTGGACTCCCAACCACTGCGCCACCAGGGAAGCCCACTTTAATATATTTTTAAGTATTTTGTCATTTACTTTCCAAATATACCTTCTAATGGCTTTCCAGAATTACCAGTTTACAATTCCATAGATGTATATGAGGTATAAATTTCACCAATATTTAGATAACTATGTGTACTTAAAAAAATCTGTATCATTGCTTACTTTTAAATTTCGTTGAATTCTGGAAAGGTTAAATATGCTTTTATATGTATTCTTGTATTATTTTTCTTTTTATCTGTTTGTATCTTTTGCTTATATGTCAACTAGGATATCAGTATTTTTCTTAGAATAAAGATAAATTTATTTGTGGCAAATATTTTAAAAGTCTGTTGTTTGCCTTTAAGTATTTTTATTTTTATTTTTATTTATTGATTTTAATGAATGTATTTATTATTTATTTTTGGCTGTGTTGGGTCTTCGTTGCTGCACACGTGGGCTTTCTCTAGTTGCGGTGAGTGGGAGCTACTCTTCATTGCGGTGTGAGGGCTTCTAATTGCAGTGGCTTCTCTTGTTGCTGAGCACGGGCTCTAGGCACGTGGGCTTAAGTAGTTGTGGCCCACAGGTTCAGTAGTTGCAGCTCGCAGGCTCTAGAGCGTGGGCTCAGTAGTTGTGGCATATGGGCTTAGTTGCTCCGTGGCATGTGGGATCTTCCCGGACTAGGAATCCAACCTGTGTCCACTGCATTGGCAGGTGGACTCTTAACCACTGCGCCACCAGGGAAGTCCCTAAGGATTTTTAAAATGTAGTTATTATCTATTCTCTTGTGATTTCTTCTACAGCTTATAAGTTTTGGAAGTCCTTTCCAGGTTTGATAAATATTTAATTATGTTTTCTTTTCATTTAAAACATATTAAATTCTTTCATTCAACAATTATTTACCTGTCACCTACTCTGAGCCAGTCCTTATACTAGGTGTTGGGGACTTGGTAGAGACCAAGATAGAAATTACTACCTCTGATCATTTGGGAATAGGAAAACATGGGTATTTTCAAGGTCTGATAATCTAATTCTAGCCTCCTACATGGCAGGTGAAAAGTCTATTAATAAAGTGTCCATGATGCCTGTTCTGTCATCTTTTAGATTTTGTTTGTGTGAGATTAAATTAAATTAATTTTTTCAAATTGTCGCCTATTTATTACAGTATCATTATTGCATAGATGTTTCGTACCCATTGATTTGTGGTATCTTCAAGACCTAGAGTCTTATCTCTATTATATGGAGGCAGTATAATGTATGTGTCCTGGAGTCAGGCTGACCTGCTTTTAGATCCTAGCTCTTCACTTACTAGCCAGGTACCTTTAGACACGTTGCTTATCCTGTCTGAACTTTTGTTTCTTCATCAGTAAAGTAGGGTGGTAATATTATCGTAGGATTATTGTGACAATTAAATGCAAAAGGGTTAACACTTTTTTAAAAGGTAATGTATTATTATATTCTTGTCAGGTGGTCTTGATGGAAAATTGCCCTATACGTGATAACACCATGTGTTTCTCTATAGGTGAAAGCAACAAACATAACCAATAAAGCAACATTTGGTATGGAAATAAGTTGCATCAAGAAAAAGCTCGTAAAGCTAAGTAGTTTTCATTGAATATTTTGCTTCTGAGCAGGGTGCAAGCATATCTACATCATTGCTGGAGGGCGTGTGTTTTTCCATTAGGTCAGTGGAATTGAATTCCCAGTGCATGTAGATGAATGGAGTGTCGTATGAGCCTGCACAACTCAAGATAAAAATGATCACAGTACTCCATCAGATTCTTAGATCCAGACTTCTTTGCCTCTCAGATAACAGGTACATTACTGGTCTTGGCCCTTATTATATTTTGATTTGTTCCTCTTGTCCTAACCTCAACTTCATACCTATTTTCATTCTTGCTTCTGGTCACAGTCATGGGTCTTGGCTTATTCTGTCACTGGATACACTAGGCTCCTTTTCTGCATTTGCCTTCCTTTTCACACTATTGGCAAGTCCCCTTGTGTAGTTTTCAAATTCACAGGGTGGCAGAAGGAGCAGGTGGCCAATGGAACACCGGGAAGGTAGAATGGGGGGCTGAGGAAAAGAGGGAGAGCCTTGTAACCAGTGCCCACTCATCACCCGTGGTTCTCAGCTCTTCAGCAAAAGCTTTGGGGAAAGAGAGGAGCCGTGGACTTCCTGTAATCCTAAAAAAGAATGTGTTTTTTTCTTTTTCACTCCTAACTTAAACTAGATTGTGTCTCAACTCTGATCTGTCCATTGGTTGGCATCACTCACCTTCAAATATTTATAAGAAAGAAGGCATTTTGGGGAAAGATTTCAATCTGTTTATAGTGAACATAATTAGGGGGAAGTCATAGAAGCAGTGGAGGTCAGTGGCTGCACCAGGATGAAAATTGTTTTGTTTTAAGGGTGATGTCATCTCTGAGCAAAGTGAAATGAGCCAGGAGGCAAATGAGAATGTAGACAGGTCTGCCCAATTCCTTTTAAAGCCCCAGAAACCCATTCAGCCTTACATCTGCTCGACTCTGGATGATTTTCAGGAAGAGAGAGACTATTTGGCAAACTACATCTTCCCTCAGCTGAGCGAATTCTGCAATTCCCGGGGTGCGTGTTTGAAAGCTGTGGACCTGAGGTGGTCAGCGTTGAAGGCCCAGGTGCCCTTACCCTTCAATCTATTTAGACAACATTTTTGTCTCCACTAGCAACATCTGAAGCTCTGTCTGGACTGCGTGAACAGCTGCTTTCCCTCTTTTTTCTGCTTGCTGGGTCAGACATACGGGGACTTTCTCCCTGATTACTCACCTGTCGTGTTCTCCAAGGCAACTGACTTGTCAAGTTTATCCATAATGGAACAGAATCTCTATGTTGCTGCAAAAAACTGTTATCCTTGAGTCCTGGAGAATCCCAACTGCAGTCCGACTGAGTTAGAGATCATCCAAGCAGCATTTCTGAATGAGTCTCAATTTCAGTATTTTTACTTTAGGACGGGAACCATGCTGCTGAAGCCTATGGACGAGGAAAAGGAGGAGATGCTGTCCGCAGGTTTTCTGATCAACGATGAGGAAAAATTAAAGATTGGAAAGCTTAAGGCCAAGATTATTAGCAAAGGGCTACCTGTCACGTTGTTCAGAGATCTCCGTGAGTTGGGTGAGCCTGGTTCTCAAGGACTGGTTGGTTGTGATAGAAAAACTTTACCCAGCCACTTTAATGATGGAAAATATAGGTTAGTAAAAATGGAGATAGCTGTCTTTTGTCATAGGTCCATGTGTTTTGTATGTCTTCCTTGTGAAAGGAATTTTTCTTCATTTGAAGATTTTTGAAACTGAGAGCAAATAGTGGGTCGTGGAAGAGGATTTAGGAAGTCAAGGAGCTCAGAGAAGACCTAAAATATCTGGCAGTTAACATGTAGATAGAGAGCAGAGTTTCTCATCCAGGGCTGATTTTGCCCCCAAGGGACTTTCGGCTACATCTTTGGTGTCACATTTTTGGTGTCACAGTTGGGGGTGTACTACTGGCATCTAACAGGTGGAGGTCAGGGTCACTGCTAAACATCCTACAGTGCACAGGACTGCCCCTCATAATAAAGAATTTTCCAACCCAAAATGTCAGTAATGCCAAGGTTGAGAAATCCTGATCTAGAGAGAACTTTTATTAATTGTCATGTGCTTTTTGCATGTTATCGCATTTAATCTTCAAGGTTTAGCCCTGCAAGGTAGGTGCTATAATTCCTGTTTTACAGATGAACAAATGAAAGCTGCTGTGTAGCAGTTAAGTGACTTACCTAATGTCACTTCACCAGTGAGGGATCATTCTAGGATTTGAACCCAAGTCCTTCTGACTCCAAAATCCATGCTCGTTTGCCTTCACACTTACCACTCAGAGAGTAAGTGATGCGTGCACCAGTAGCCTCGGCATCACCTAGGAACTTGCTAGAAATGCATTCTGGGTCTATTGAATTAGAATTTGCATTTTAATAAAGATGACCAGGTGAGTTGCAGGCACATTAAAGTTTGAGAAGCACTGCCTGGCATCCTGTTGCCTCTGAATGAAATGATTACATTTATTCTGAAAGTGTCTCATGGACATGTACAGATTAAAAAGGGAGGAACAACATCAGAGCAGGGCAGAGATTCTTCACCTAGACAGACTTTAGGAGGGATCTGTGATGCCCTAAATTTATATGAAAAAAAGAATGTTTATATGCAGATGTGTGTTTTGGGCGGTAGGAAGTTGGCCTGTGTCTTTGATCAGATTCTCAAAAGGTTTAATGACCCAAAAAAGATTGTGAGTTACTGTTGTAAGGGCCCAATTAATGTGGGAGTGCAAAATGCAGGTGGTGCATTCTCAAAAGCTTTCAGGGACCAGGCAGGCATAGTCCTTCTAATATGATAGGGGGCAGATGGATCTGTAGTCAACTGAATGGGAGGGCGTTGACCCACCTAAAGTCATTCACATCCATTGTTGGGGGTGGGGCATGAAATCCCACCTGTGCTGGTCAAACAAAACTCTGCCTACAAGCCAAATTATTTTGGAGTCCTAGAAAAGAATATTGTATCAATCGTTACTCTTTGGGTTGAAAGTGACTCGGACTGGCTCCAACAAACAGGGAATTTTAGTTTATATAACTTTAAAGCCCAGGATTGGGTCTGTGTTCAGCTCAGGCTTCATCCACTGGCTCAAATGAGGTTACCAGGCCCTGGTTTCTCACTATTTCTCTGCATGGCTCTGTTGTCCTGATGTTGCCTCAACTCCTTGGCGCCTCCATAATGGAGGGAAGATGGCTCTAGCAGCTCCAGGTTCAAGTCCAGC